GCTGCCGGATCTGGTTGGCGTGGCCTCGTTGCCCCAACCAATAGGTGCTCGACGCCTCTCCTCGGGACCGCAGCGGTATTCTTCGACGGCTCTCTATCCCTCCACCTCCTGCACCATGTATCGGCCTTCTGCCCTTTCTTGAAGCTCCTTCTCATCCAAGTGGTCACCTGATGCTGCCGAGTGGACCACGCTCACTCGCGCCTTCGCCCGCCAGTACCAGGTTTGGTCGCCACCTCCTTTGCACAATTCGTCGAGCAGGTCATCTGTGTGGCGTATGTGTGCTGTTGTAATGGATGGTGGGCTTTTTTCTGGTGGTTGGGGTGCAGGATTTGCTCGTGTGTTTCAAGTTGAATACTGGGGAGATGGAGGAGATGTGCCATGGCAGGCTACTGTGGTGGTGAGATTCAGGTTGTACATCGAGGCCAACGGCCATGGTTGTTTGCATGTCTGTTTAGGTCTATTTTTTATATGGTTGTTGAAAAACAAATCCAAGCCTATTAGTTTTGAAAATAAGTCAAGCCTATGTGTTGAAAAATAGTTTGATTAACTAGCGAATGGACATTTGGTGCCAGTGAGGTGAGCTAGCTTGTGTTGATGCATGTATGTTTGGTCAAGGCTAGCTTATTGCAGCAGTTGGCACTATAGTGCAGAGAAGAGAAACTGTGTCAGCGTGTGTAATCAGGATCGGGATGTATACTTCATACTACTGTAGAGCTTAACTAGATGTCCCTGCCAAGCAAAGCAATTAACATTGAAGAGGCCCTCCATTCATGGAGTACGTACATTCCTGGTTATTTTTCCTTCAGTTTTGGTTTGTAGATGTAATTGTAAGTTTTGCAATCTCGCTTTTGCTTTTCTTATTATTTTGTAGTTCTGGAACATTTAACTCATGTGCCTAAGGTTGATGCAGCCACTGTCATGTTAACATCATGTCCCGTGTGTTCTTTCTCAAATATGTAGAGCGGGGGCTTCTTGTTATACTTAAATGCACTATGCTATCATGCATGTCTAAGTCGCGGGCCTATCTGAAGAGCAATAATATAAAGCTTTTGAGCTTAGGCACATGAATCAAGCCCCCAGAATCCGATGGTCTACTGAGCCAGTTTTAAGTTGGCGAGGAAGGGTGGAGCAGTGAACCTTGCCACACAACGGCACCCCCTTCGCCTGATGACCTTTTCCGATCACGATGACCTCCTGTCGCTGCTGAAGGTATTTTGTTTCTTCTCTTTTCATCTGCAGACTGCAGAGTATCTTGTTTGTTCAATTCTGATAAAAAAAACTAGATGTTCTAGTCAAAGCAGTACTGCAGTCATGCAGTACTTGTTGCAGTATTACGTTTATTTGTTTTTGGATGAGATACTTTCAAAGTTGATTTATAGTGACAATGCGAGAGTTGTAGATAATTTTCTGTACTTCCAGTGTACTTTATTATTAATTCTTAGTATAAGAGTATCTAAGGGGCACAATTGGCTTGAATTCATATAGGCAGAGATGTTTCTATAATTAATTACAGTCAAATCATTTGCACAGAGAAAAATACTTCAACATTAGACAATATGATTAGACAATATGCCAGGCGTCCTCCTTTCTAGCTTTTGGCTTTCCCTGTACTAGCTTTGCTCTTTGGGTCCTCAGCTTTTGAGACCTTGATGCTTTTGAGAATGTACGACAAACTTGGTTTCGTTATAGCAATCTTAGTCTAAACATAGCACATGTTTCTGGACATAGGATTGTTACAATGAATTAGAATAATGTCATGTCCTTTGAATTATATGAATAAGTAATGAACCGCTGCAAACTTATAATGAAATTGAAATCAGTGTGGTTTATTGGTAGATTATTCCTTTTGTACACAGAGCAACGTGTAGTACTGTATATCATTTGGAGTGTGTTCCTGCTGATTCATATTACCCTGGAAATTGCATGTGAAGGATCAAAAGATGAATACGTAGTTATACTGTTAGATAGCAGCTAACCAGCCAATTAGAACATCTAAGTTTTTTAACTGTATCCACAATTAAATTTCAACTGTATATATTTAATCTCCCTTACAACTTATCTAATCATTTCTTAGGAATTGGAAACAGTACTGGAGGAATTGTGATCTATGTCAAGGGTGATGATGTCTATGGAAATGATTGTTGAGTGTTATGATACATATGGTGATGAAGGGTGACGAATCTAATGTCTTTCGTCAAGACATGCAACAAAGTGAAGTTATGAAGTTCTGGTCAATTTAGCTTATGCATAATGCTTGGACCATTAGATCTTAGTTACTATTTTATTTTGCATTTCAAACTTCCCAGATAGATCACGGTGATCAATGTAATTTTGATGCAACTCTTCTGATATTCTGAAAGGTGTGCTAAATATAATAGTTTATGTTTCTTGGTCATCTGTGGGTTGTGCAATTATGAAGATATATTTGAAATGCAAAGCAATCCTTGAAGGGTGACTAATGGCCTACCATGGAACAAGCCTCACAACTACACAATATTGCCAATGGAAACTTCACACCATCGGTGAATCTATGTTTGAGGGTGTCGTTTGGCCTCTCAACTAAAGGAATCCCCGTAGGGGTGTATACACAGTCAGCAGTCATACTAGTTGACAGGTTGGTTCTCCTCTCGGCTATAATGAACCCCGAGGGTCAAATATATACCGTCAACTATTACAAAAGTCGAAGGAAAGTAATAACTGTCAGAAAATAAATACCCGACGGGGAACCCTCAGCTATAAGTGTCGTCAAGTTTCTCTAAGTCGGCTGGTGACCAAAACATGTCCGACGGCTCACCGTCGGAGAAGGTATTACCCCACAATACCGTCGGCTATTACGGTAATGGCCGACCAAGCATAGCCGATCAGTTATACAGAAATCCGACGGTGAGCAAAAATATCCGACGGTAATTTGACCCTCGGTTATAGTGGGAAATCTAGTAGTGCATGTGGGGCCAACCCATCAGTTTTCATGTTAGTCGCGGCTCGCAACTCGTTTAGTGCAATATGTTACTCACTTGGCGCAGAAGTGGTGGTTTTCTGTTAATTTTTACAAAATAGGTGGTAAAGTAGCACCCTAGCCATAAATGTGGTGGTTTTCAACACTTTACTCTTTTGATTTGCAGTACTGATTCTGAACCAAATATAGATCCATTAACTACCTATTTTGTTTTGTTAAAAATTGTCTCATATATAATAGTGCAAGTACATTTCATTATTGCCCAAGTGAATATGCGTTTCCCACATTGACAAATATCAGGCTCATCCAGCTCCTTAGACGCAATGACGTATGTGAATATGTGTTTTCCACATAGACAAATGTCAAATTTATTAGCTCCTTTTTTTGAAGGAAAACTTCAACTTTATTAATTAGAAATAATCGTTACACCGCCCGTAAGAGTGAGCCACCTCGAACCAATCCCTAGTTTCCGAAAAAATTGCTAGCCTAGCAATTTCATGAGCCATCTTATTTGCTTCCCTATTACAATGTTCAAAACTAATAAGAGAAAAATCATAAGCCAAAATAACAATCATCGAAGACTGCAACCGCTGCTCCTGCCGAGTGTCCTCCATATTCTTCATTGTGTCAATCACTTTCATATTGTCTGAGTTAATAACAAGACGATTGCATACCGCCTTTTGTGCAAGTAATAACCCAAACTTCAGAGCCACAACATCTGCTGCTAATACATCTGCACAACAATCAATCTTACAATTTCCACCGATAATGAACCTGTCTTTGTCATCTCTAAGGACCACCCCAACAGTACCGTGAAGCAAATCATGATCAAACGAGGCATCAACATTTAGCTTCACAAAACCCCTAGGAGGACAGCTCCATCCCGCTATTTTAATAGATGCCTTAGGGGAGTAGGCATTAACATAGTTTGTCATTATGGCAAGAGCCCCCATCGAAGTTTGGTTAGCATCTTGAAACTTTCCTTCATGAACTAGTTTACGTCTATCCCACCGATCAATTCAGGCATGTTCTGGATGCCCATTAAAGATAATTCCCGATCTTGCATAAAGAGTAAGAATTCTAGTACCGCCTCTCCCGCATGGTCAACAACACAAACTTTACTGATCACCTCGTATAAACCTAATTTGCCCCATACTTCTTTCCCCTTCTGACACCGGAACAAGACGTGTTTTTGTATCTTCTGTAGCATTCAAGCATGATGGGCAGATGGGCGAAACCTTCAAATGTCTATTAGCAAGTGTAACTCGACACGGGAGGGTTCCATGTAGTGTACGCCAGATAAAGATTTATACCTTTGCGGGACAGGATAACTTTCAAATCTTTTCCCAAATAGGATTGGCATTGGTTCTACCCTTCCCATTTGCATGTTGCGATTTTTCCCATGTTGTTTGTTCCATTCTTCCAAATAAGCCGAACGAACAGTGAACATGTCACTTTTTGTATAACTCCAAACAATGAAATCTGGCATATTATACATGGGAAGTGAAATTGCGAGCACCCTTTGTGAATCAATTGGCCACAACGTCTGTCTCGCCAGATCTTCATCCCATGAATCTGTGATTGGGTCAATAAGATCACACACCTTTGACAAAAGTTGCCTCCTTGTAGGAGTGATAATCTTCCTATTCGCAAAATTTGGGATCCAAGCGTCTTTCCAAATATCAATATTCTGTCCATTTCCAACTCACCAGATATAATCACTTTTTAGAGAATTTACGCCCGCCATAATACTTTGCCAAGTAAAAGAGGACTCCTGTTTTAGACTTGCATTCATTAGATCTCCCTCAGAAAAATATTTTGCTTTCAAGATAGTAAATCATCAGCTCCTTAGTTGCAAATACATATGTTAATAGACTTGCCACGTACAACCATCATACACCCATGTCACAACTCCCATAAGACATCTACACTTCTATGCAACGTTTTACAACTGAAATAACTAGTATTAATCAAATAAAAATATCAGCAGATGGAAATTTACTATATCACAAACGATTTTGCTGAAATTCATAAAAAAAACTACCTATTCGTACAATAACAAGTTCATCACTGTAAGACTGGGTGTTATCCATATGGGACTGGGCCAGCTGCACCAAAGCGGGGATACAATTTCTTCCGTGCTGTCATCATCCAAGTTGAGAACACCTATGTCCCGAGGGTTCGTCTTATACTTCCAACTATATTCCTCATCATCTGCGAAATAGACACAATTTTCCTTCAGTTGCGGATATTCTTCAGCACTAAGGTACTGCGACTGGTTACGCCCAAGAAACAACACGTGATTATGCAAGCCATTTATTTCCACAAGCGCTTTTGCTGCCATATCAACTTTGTATAACAAGATTTTTCTAGTTTTAACTATGAGCTCCTCATAACCTGCATCTATGAGTTCATCCTCCCTGCAGACTTGCAGCAGACCGCCCCACGGTGCCTGAACAACATACCACATGTCCCGGCTAATGTAATTGTCAATCTCATCTATAATTATGTTCCTCGTGACGGTAGGGCCACTGAGATTAAAAGCATCAATTCTTCCCGTTCCCGTGAATGCATACAATAGATCATGCATGTAGATGCATTGTTTATAGTCCCAACCAGGGGGCAGCAAGGTCCACTTACAATCTCCTATCCTTGCAAACGAAAGCTCACCTTCTGGACCGTGGATGAGAACCACAATGTAGCTCCCTGCCGACGGATCCGGAAAGATAAATGCCCTGACATAGAGGTGGTCACGAAGCTCGTCGGGAGCATGGGTTAACATTTTGGGATCAACCAGTTTGAAGCCTGACTCCGCACAGTACACTTGCTCGGGCAATCCATACTTAACAATTGTACCTGCATCGTCAAATATTGGCTCTACATAATCAATGGTGATCACCGGCGGGAGAGCAATCTGTTGACTAGTGATCGGATTGATAAGGTGGAGCTCAGACTTGTCATCTGCGGTAACTAGCCAACCATGCGAGGACCCAATCAGATACCTACTGCGGATGGGTGGATCCGAGAGAGTTAAATTGTAGACCCTCTTCTCCGCGAGGCTGTAGAGACAAGCTACATTCTCACCAGCAGATTCAGAAGTGTAGAGGAGGCAAGGCGTCTGAGGCCGTTTGTACTGCTCAAGCTCGTTGCAGGCTGGTATACGCAGAGCGCCAGGAGGTGCTGACAGAGGCCGCACGCATGAGGTCAGGTATCTCGAGGAGTGAAAATATTTCCATCAATACATCCTGCGGCAGCTCCGGCAAATTTCTCACCGCAGTTTCAGTTTCCATCAGTGGTGAGACCTTTCTGAATTTCCCTAGTGAATCGGGAGAAAGAGCCAGGAACTTGGGCAAAATTCTCAGGCCAAAATGTGCAAAGCTCACTATCCTGGCTACGCTACAGGAGGCCTCCATTGGAGCGATTGCAAAACTCGGTCTTATGGGAGAAGAGTTGCTTCAGCGGCAAACCAACGGGACTTGGCTTGTTGTATATCTAATCTGAGAAGAAGCACACCGTCCTGGCTGCACTTATATAGAGAAGCCTGTCGGAGTCCAACCTCACCGTCCTGGCTCCGATTAGAAGAAGGGGTCCGGATCCAAGGAGGAAGCGGCCGTACAAACTCTGGAAAAGATCCGGAATACGAATCCGAGCAGTTACCTCAAGGGTTCCCGTCGATTGCTCCACTGCGCCTTGGAAGGATGCCGGCCACACCTCCCAACGACGGGAGAGGCCCGGAGAACCAGGAGTAATTGGCAGTGGAAGGTCACGGCGAGACGGAGCTTGGCCGCTCCGCCGTCTTTGTCGCAGGCGGCGGCGCTGTGGGGGCAGGTCGGCACGCAGGCTTCTGTCGGGTTTGCAGAGGTCAACGGAGGGCGTCTGTTTTGCGACCGAGCGTCGCGTGCTCCGCGTGAGCGATGGATTCCTTTTTAATATATTCTTTGGAAATGTTATCCGACTAACGTTCGCCAGAAGATAAATCCTAATGAACCTCTTCACAGCCCTCGCACGAATCTTGACGCAAGGGATTTACTTCATTTTGCACCGGTTTCTTTTTTCTCTTAGCAATTTTCATTGGTCTTTCTTTTCTTTCTTCGTTTTTATTTGTTCTTTTTTCAATTTTCATAGTTTTTTTTCGTCCTTCTTCATTTTTATTTGTTTCTTTATCGTCTTTTAATCAGTTTTCTTTTGTTTTTCACGTTTCTTTGTTGGTTTTTCACGGTTTCCATTCCTTTCCATTGGTTTCTTTGCTTGGTTTTTTTTATTAGCTTTCTTCTTTTTCTTTGTTTTTTTATTCTCATCATTTCCTCTTATTGGTTTTCATTGTTTTTCATTCTTTTGCACTTGTTTCTTTGGTTTTAGTTTATTTTTCGTTGATTTTCTTTGTGTTTTTTGGTCTTCATTGTTTTTTTTGTTTCCTTTTTTGTCTTTTTGGTTTTTATTCTACTCCCTCCGTTCCTAAATATTAGTCTTTTTAGATATTTTAAATGGACTATCACATACGGATGTATATAGACATATTTTAGAGTGCAGATTCACTCATTTCGCTCCTCATGTAGTCACTTGTTGAAATATCTAGAAAGCCAAATATTTAGGAACGGAGGGAGTATATTTTTTGTATACATTAAGAAAAATAATTGTATACATGTTTAATATTTTTCAAATAAAACTATAATATTTCTTCCTACATGCTCAATATTTTTTCTATACACATTTTAAACATTTTTCAAATGCTTGATTAACATTTTTTAAATGCAAGATTAACATCTTTTGGAATACATGGTCAACATTTTTCTATACACATTTTAATATTTTTCAGATGTTTGATTACATTTTCAATACTTAACAGTTTTTAATACATATATAGCCGACATTTTTTCAATACATGTTTAACATTTTTCCTCAGATGCTTGACTAAATTTTTTCAAATACAAGTTTAACATTTTTTATACATGGTCAAAAATACAAGTTTAACGTTTTATATACATGGTCAAAAAAAGGTATACACATTTAACATTTTTTAATACATGGTCAACATTTATGTATATTTATTTATCATTTCAAATACAAGTTTAACTTTTTTTAATACATGGTCAACATTTTATTCGAAAGCTTGATTAACATTTTTATAATACATGGTCAATTGTTTTGACACACATTGTATAGGCTTTGTACACATTTTCCGTATACATGGTCAAGATTTTTTTATATACACATTTAACATTTTTCAAGTGCATGATTAACATTTTTTAAAACATTATGTAAAGTATATTTTTTGTAAAATAAATGTTCAGACTTTTTAAAGTGTAAAAAGGTAAAATAAATAATAAAACAAAAATGTGAAAAACAGAACATGCAAATGAGGTTGTGGCCTCCAGCGAACTTGGCCGGCCCATCTCCAGCTGCCTTATGTGAGGGTCATCTCTGTCTCGCGTGAAGCGAAACATAAGGGCGCCTGGAGGACAACCCCCCAACCGATGTGCCCCAGATATTAGGGTCAATTTTTTTAGTGTATATTCTTTTTTATTTTCTGAACTTTCTTTTACTTTTGACCATCCACACAAGTGATCGATTCCTTTCGTTTTTTCTTTTTTGAACTTCCATGTGAGTCGTGTTGAAGTGGGTCCTGATAAACTTGACGAGCCTACTTGTAGTTTGAAGCTTAAACAGTCTAAGGCCCTGTTTTGTTTGGTCTTGAGCTTCGGTTTTTGAAGCATTTAGGCCCCTAAAAGCACAAGCCCAAACAAACACGTGACATATGTTGCTTGTCTTGATAGAAGCCACCTTCCCAATTGCATTGTGAAGCAAGAGCGCCTCCAGACTAGCTTTCCTCGTCCCCCATCGACTTCTCACCCCTCCAACAAAACCTTAGCGCTCCACTTTGCAGTAATTACAACCAAAATGCCATCAATATATATAAGCGGTACCCTTCAAAAACATGTCTCGGCTTGCACCCCCACCCCATTTCCTCCCCGAGAGCCCAAGAGATAGAAGAAACATAAGGGGCTAGGGTTACAAGTCGTCGTTGCTGCCATATCGAGCCATCTCGACGGCCGGTGCTCGCCCTGCCACCAGCCAAATCTCTCCTCCCTACCTTCTCGCCTTGTTCCTGCTCCCGGAGCTCACTCCCCGGCATCCTCCCAGCCTCCCTGACCGAGCGTGCCCGCCAAACGTACTAACCTCGCCGCCGTCTCCCATTGGAGGCACCTCATGACGAATGTCGCCGGCTCGACCACGGCACAAAGATCTCTGCCGCCGCATGCCTCCCTGCCTCGTCGCCGCCCAGCATGGCTCAAGAGCTCCACCCCCAGACAGTCGTCCTCTTCTGACGCTCCTCCACGACGCTCCCTCCACTGCTGCATGTTGAAGATAAATGTTGTATGATTTTTCAGTTGTTGGACTATGCAAATCAGGACATGAACAAGTGAGTATTTGATTATTTGTGTGTGGGGGGGGGGGGTCTTGAAGCTGTGTTCCCCTGTTTTTAGGGTTGAGCTAGCTAAGAAAAGGGGGAGACCCCGTAAAATCAAAATCTAAAATCATGTTAGGGACATTTTGGAATTGCAGGGGTTTGGGGCACCCTGATAAAACAAAAGTTTCTAAGAGACATGATTTTTGATTATGGGATACGATTCATAGGTCTATCATAGACCTTGATGTAGGATTTTGATGCTTTCTGGGCCAAGAAGCATTCTGGCAATATAAATTTTCAGTGGCAACAATTGAGACCAAATCTCTACTAGGAAAAGGGCTATAGATGGGATTGACACTAATGGCGCACCGGAGAAGTGATGCGCCACTACTATATACTAATGGCGCACCATTTGGTGATGCGCCATTAGTGTGGAAGACACTAATGGCGCACCAGACACTAGGTGCGCCACTAGTAATAATTTTTTTTCATTTTTCCAAACATACTAATGGCGCATCCGAGCGAAGTGCGCCTTTACTAGTTCTAACTAGTAATGGCGCACCAGCCACAGAGTGCGCCAGTACTGTATTTTTTTATTCTTTTTTTTGCAAAACTACTAATGGCGCACCATGGCACAGTGCGCCATTACTAGTTTAAACTAGTAATGGCGCACTGTGCCGTGGTGCGCCATTATATA